TACTGCTCGTTCTTTGTTTTGAGGCCACCGAAGCAGTGTCGTTGTCGGTGAGTTTGCTTTCACGCTTGATTTCCGTTTTCGCATCATGTTTGTATCGGCATGAGCAGTGGTCTGGTGTCTCTGAATCCCGCCAGTACTTGGATATTAAGCATCTTGGTCGTGCTCCTGAATTCCGGGAAACATGTTGGCCGAGGCTCTGTAGAAGGTTTTATCGACGGGTTTCCTCCAATCGGTTTGTAGCGAAGTTTACAGAAGGGTTTATAGAGGGGTGTACAGAGGGTTTCACAGAATGATGTGTTTATAGAGGGGTTTCGAGTGGGGTTATAGGAGGGGTCGTCGGAAGGGTTAGAGGAAAGGTTTAAAGAATGTGTGGATGGACGGATGAAGAGATGGATGGATGGATGGATGGATGGACGGACGGATGGATGGATGGATGGATGGATGGGGGATGGCGGAATGGAGGGAGGGATTGAGGGCATTGAGGGATGGAGGGATCGAGGGAGGGAGGGATGGATGGATGGACAGGAGAACGGACGGTGTTACCTCGCTACCCCTACTCTCTCGGTACCTTCCTTACTTTTCCAGTGATTCTAGTTGAGATGCGCGGGTGTCTTTGCCAGTCAAGTTATGTTTCGTGTTGAGCCGCTAAACTGTCCTGAACTCCAAACCCTAAACCCTAAACCGTAATCCAGAAGCCCAAACTCGCATCAGAGTGCACTCCTCGCTACTCCGTCAACCCCGGACACGGAGCCCGGTGGCCCAAACTTAGGACAAACGCTGCCCAAGATGGTTCCTATAAGGGATCTAGAAGCGTTCTATCAGGATCCCGTTAGGGTTTAGGTTTTTTCATAAACCCTACACCCTAAACCATAACCCTAAGGCTCAAAATGGCCCCAAAGCCTTGCATAGTATGGTCTTTGGGCCCAGAAGCCTTAATATATGAGTCCTTAGAGCCTTAGGGTAAGGGTTGGATGCAAAGGCGCTCCAGAGATGGCAGCTTGCCGAGAGGCTCCTGCTTTGCTTTGCAGCGAATTGCTTGAACCCAACCGTATGAATATGTACCTAAACAAACAGCAGGCTATGTGGACGACAGTGCGGGTCAACTCACTTTAAAATGAAGCCCCCCAGCCCCAAACCTGAATATTTACAGGATAAAACCCTCCGCAACCCTTAGTTCGAGACCTCAGCCCTAAACCCTAAACCCCTAAACCCTAAACCCACAAAATCCAGACCGCCATGTTAGGGCGTATTCGGAGGAGAAGGCTTTGTAGACCTATATGTTTGTTTGAGTTTTGAGTTTAGGGTTTGGGGTCTAGGACATATATGTATATGTATATATATATATATATATACCCCCCCCTAAAACGCGAAGGTTCTAGGGCTCTGACTCCGAATTGTTGGTCACGCCGACCGTGCCCTCGACCCGAAACCTTCATCCACGCTCGAAGTTCCAGGCCCCGCAGAGTCTGAGTAAATACAAAGAAATACAAGACACATTCTATATATATATATATATATACATATACATATATATATATATATATATATATATACATACATACATACATACATACGTACATACATACATACATACATACATACATACATACATATATACGTATATATATATATATATATATATATATATATATATGTATACGCATAGATGTATGTTTATTTATCTGTTGGTGTATGTGTATATATATATATGTGTGTATGTACATGTGTGTAAAAGCATGGATCGATACTGTAGCTAGATGAGTTAGATTGATAGGTAGATAGGCAGATAGAGAGGCAGACAAACGGATAGATCCATCGGTCGGCAAATCTAGATCTAGCTCTAGATACAGATGAAGATCTTGACATGGAAACAGAGGGATTTAAAGTATGAGTGTGTGTATATATATATATATAGACATGCATGCATGCATGCATAAATACATACATGCATACGTACGTATAGCTTTTGGCCAATGTACATACGCACATACCTATATAGATATATACATATACGTATACCTATGTATACACACATACGAGCACCCATAATATATATATATATATATATATATATATACACATACACATGTGTGTATATATATACAAATATACAAATATATATATATATATATATATATATAGAGAGAGAGATATGTAATGTGTACACATACATGTATACACATATATATATATACATATATATATATACATACACATGTATGGTTACACAGATGTATTCAGATAGCCAGGTAGATAGATGGTGTATACACAGATGTATGCAGATAGCTAGGTAGATAGATGGTGCAAGGTCTGCGGGTTAGGCCGGCGCCCTCCCCCCTCCCCCATCCCCTCCGCCCCGCTCCCCTTCCCACCCCGCCTTCGGCCCTTTCCCCCGCGCAATGAATGGTGGACTCTCCTCCGCCGCTCTGGGGTCTGCTTGCGGTGTTCGCCCCCTGTCGTATAGCGTTTGGACCTTAACACAAATATTTTGGATAGGGTTAGTTTTTATAGTTCATGATAGAAAATAGTCCAAACCCTACTCTAATTGCTAATGTGTTTTGGGGTTTCCTGCTGCTTGCAGTGTGGCGTGGTTCTGAGTTTGTGTTTTGCTGTTTCCTGCTCAGTGTGTGGTTCGGGGTTTGGGTCTGCTTGGGTTGCTTAGCATGTGTTTTTGTGTCCTGCTTTGCAACTAGATCCTGGTTTGCAAAAGTTCGTGTAACGTGTTTTTAATACATACTTAACCCTAAGGCTCTAAGGACTCATATTTTAAGGCTTTGGGCCTAAAGACCATATTATGTAAGGCTTTTGGGCCATTTTGAGCCTTAGGGTAAGACATGCGGAGAGCTAAGAGCCAGTTATGGATGAAAGTCTTGTCTCTCGCATTTTGAGCATGTCCGGCAACATCGCAAGGGGGTTGTACATTGTAAATCTTGGGGAGGATGACCATATAGACAATAGATCGATATCCATATCCGTATATATATATATATACATATGTATATCAAACTACGCTGATATTGATATTATATCTACATACCTGCATGCGTGCATACATACATACATACATACTTGCATACATTTATAGGTCAATAGTTCAGACCTACATACACTTATGTATTTGTGCACTAAGTCACGAGTCCCAGCACTAAGTCACGAGTCTCAGCAGGCTTTTGATACTCGGATTCCGGGTAGTCACAAAAGCCCATATCAAAGCACAGCCCCCGAATCCACATCTTCAGACCTCCTGAACACCAAACCTACATTCCGAGTCCCGTTAATGCAAGATGACTTTGCCGCGAAACACTGCGCAGATTCAAAAGATTCACCGTCGAAGCATCTTCGGCCCCGAGATGTGAAGTCAGTATTCCGGATTCGGACTTGAGCTTCATAGACGGACCCTGTAAGCCCTTAGTTTTATTCTGGATCTAGGCTGAAATTTTAACCTGCCCAGTTCCACCATGATATTGTCGCTCTTGCATTTCTGCTCAGGGGCAACTGGCGAGATCCGCCCATATCCACAAGAAAGCCTCTGCATGTACGCAGGAGTCACACTTATGCATACTTCCATATCGATATAGGTGGTGGTAGACTCAACCTGCCATCGTACATAGGAGTGTCAGGATATGTCAGGGCAGTGCGTGAACAGATGGATGAAGTTGGCGACATTGGCTTGCGCCGCTTGCATGGCTTACTCACCGCTTTTGTAGTCGATTGAGGAAGACAGTTTGCGTCAGAGACTTGTGTTAGGGCTGGGGGTGAGATACTTCCCACTGTAGCCGTAACCCGAAGGGTCCCTGTGCCCACTAGGATATACCCTGGCCCCAAAGTACCTGTTTGGGGGACTAAAGCCTAAACCCTAAACCCTGAACTATACTATCTGGGTACATGGACCCTTAGTCCGCAGACCCTAAACCCTGGTAGGAACCCTTAAAGACCGCTAAAGTCCGTTAAAGGAACCTTTCTGGCCCCAGGAGGCCAAAAAACACATAAGTTTGGGAAGTCCTTCGTTTCGTCAAAGGGTCTGAGTCTTCTTGTGTGAGTCAGGGGTTCATGGTTGTGTTGGGGTTTAGGGTTTATGGTTTCGGGGTTTGTTGGCCTTTAGGGGTGTAGAGCTTTTAGTTTACGGGTTTAGGAAGTCTGGGATTTGTTGGGGACTTTGACTGCGCAGCAAAGGCCTATGTCTCAACTGCCCGGGCAGACTGCCTGCCGGAGGCAGTCCCACCAAACCAACGAAAAGACTTGCAGAGCAATGCAGGTATTTTTCCGCTCGGCATCGTGCAGGAAAATTCGTGGGACTGGCCTACCCTGGTCTTGAAAATTCTGGCCACAGAGGTGCTCGGCTACAACGTATGGATTAACGATCTCGCTGCATTCCAGTCTTTTTCGGGCGGTTCGGCCATTTACGAAGTCGCTGGATGCGAGCGAAATTTGACGGACTGGCTATGTGAGGGGCAAGCCTCCAGAACGCACGTCGCAAGGAGCATCTAATTATTTGCCATCCAAAGAAGAAGTACCTAGGTGACACTTGAGTGGTTGTCAAAATTAAGATCCCTTGTTGGGTACCCTAAAAAGCTGCCGTATTACAATAAGGACCCCAAAAAGGGACCATAGTTTTGACAACCACCCACTTGGTGACGCTTCTTGATTTCCTGTATGGCTTGAAGGTACCCGCTCAGAGATGATTGTTTGTGTTGCCCTAAAGCCTAAACCCCCTGTAACCTACAACCCAGGAACTGGCGAGGGTACAGAGAATTCGAGTTGGTGGTATTCTGGATGTACTGGCCGAAGCCTCAAATCCCACTTATGAAGGCTTGAGCATCTCGCAGAGATTGGCAGAGAAGGTTCTTGAGGAGCGGGGCTTACCCTTAGAGTATTTTCGTTCTTATCATGCCGGCAACAAAGCGGCAATTCTGCCCTACTTTCACAAGATTCAAGATATCAATGAATCATATCTGGCACCGTGTGCCACCTGGAGCCTTTGGTTTGAGTTCTCGGACAGAATGGAAACATATCTGCAGATCACTGGAGACACAGATGGCGTTACGGTGGAGGCTGATGGTGGGACCCAAACTATCAGGCCGCGATGCCACGAAAGCCGGTGGTGGTTGGCTCCCACATGCCGTGAGAATTCAACAGAGCCCTGTCGGTAACATGCATTAGGGTTTCAGGACTGGTTGCATGCTACAGTGTGAGTTTCTCCTCCTATCTTAACATCGATGCCGTTTTTGATAGCTGTTGAGCCACTTGCCTTCTCAGAGACAAAGGAATGCATTCCGAGCCTGCTGTATGACTACTTTGGCTTTCCCTGGCACATTGAAGAAGTCATGCAGAAAGCCGCAGTTTGGGAAATGCCCTTGGCAATCGGGTCAGCATTCGCTGACTTCTCTTCTACCAGTGGTCCCTATTTCCGTCTTCCGTTGACACATGACGTGGTGTATGTGGCCGTACATCCAGACATTCCGAATTTTTTTCCACAGGCCACAATGCAAATTGCTTTTCCACGCCACAGTGTCTTCGCCGAGTTTGGGGGATTGTTATAGCTGCCTCTGTTGAATGTTCTTCGTCTTTGTCGGCTTGGGTTGCTGTTGTTATCTTTTCTGTTGGCGGCTCAACCGCACTCACGTCACTGAAGGTGCCAGAGAATGGCAGAGGGGAGTGGCATCCAGCATGTCTGCCACGTGGTCAAACTCAATGATTGCACACAAAGATCCTTGTCTGGTATAGCATCAGTTTTGCTGTTGAAGGGCGTGCCACTTCTGCAACACAACAGCCTTCAAATGCTGCCAGTGGTTTACCCTTACAGATATGGGTAGTTCTCTATGCTAGGGTCGTTTTGTCGGTCCCCAAACTGATGCAACATCCTTCCGAACAAGACCCTAACAGGGGCCTGAATTTAGAGAACCGGACGTCTGAGAATCCAGGACCTTGGGGAATTGGCACCAGATTTTCAAGAACTTCTTCGGCGGATGAGGTTTTATGGAGAGGACCGTGTTCGCAACCCTGACTCATCCTGAATCCCAATATTAGACTACCCCCTAACCCCTGTATAAATCCCTAAGCCCTAACCCCTAAGGGTCCATGTGCCCATATAGAGATACAGGAGCCCTCAATGTACCTATATAGGGACTACATTAAGGCCAATGTATATACTATATGAGTACATGGACCCTTAGGGTAACATGGCTGCGGCTCAAGCTGTTGTGTTTACAAGTGGTTGTAAGTGCCCTGTCTGTCCCCGTCGTTCTCTTCCCTGTGCTTTGTCGATCTGGCACTTCACGTACTCCGTCTTCGACCGCTTGGACATGGAAGTGTTCTCTCCCGTCTACTCGTTTATCCGTTTATCCGGAAGTCTCTCTCGAGTACCTTCTGCGGTACGAGATCGTCTGGGCCCTGGGCCTGCTCTTCTACGCGATTGCTGCCTGGTTCTCTGTCGACCATTTCATTGGCCACTTGTTGGTGTCTGGGGTGATCTTCTCATCCTTCATGCGCGGTCACCGGGGTGATCTTTATGCTTCGTCGTGGGACGAGGATCGTGAAAGTCTCGTGCCCTGCAACATTTGTCGTGTCGCAGAAATGAAGAAAGGTTGGAAGACGTTTGATACCAGGGTGGGAAAGGTTAAGGAAGGTAAACATGCTGGCACGGCAGCCATTTAGTCGCTCAAAGTCGGACCAACATGTAGATGAACTTATGGAAGAGGTGAGGAGCATGAAGGTGCAGTTTGATGACTTCGTGGCTGCACCCGCCCCCTCCAGCTCATCTTTCTAGCCGGTGCCACAGCGTCATGTGACCCTTGGGCCGAATGCCTTGCGAAGCGTTTTTCCACCTTGACTGCCGACGTGGACCAGGGTGGACCTTTGAATCAGCGGGAGTAGGACTCGCTCACCGAAGATGAGAAATGCGAAGAGCAGTCATGCAAGTATGGTACGCCGTGTCACGATTGACCTCGCCGTGAATGCCAAGAATCAGGCAAGGGGTGATATGCTTGCTTACCACCCAAGCCATTGCCTATGCTTATGTCACTCGGGAGACTGGGTACACTTCGATTCTGTCGCCAGGGCCGCCTGCTGTTCGACAGACGATGCCAAGGCGGCATCCGAATGTGAACTGTGAAGTCAGCAGGCGGCATGTTTCACCTCTCCTGGAAGAAATTGACGACCTGAAGGGGTTACCTACATCCTGAGGATCAGGCTACGTCCTCTTCTTTTCGGCCGAAGTGTGAGAGACGTCGCTGGGCCGAGTTATTCAATGAAATTGGGGTGGACAGGATCTTTGCTCGATGTCGCAGCTAACGATGTATACCTTGTCATGATTCAGGATGGGCAGGATCTTTGCTCGATGTCGCAGCTAACGATGTATACCTTGTCATGGTTCAGGAGATTGCGAGGGGCGAAAATGGTTGGTGGAGAGCACACCACGGATCTCTTTCGTTGTGTATTGCATAAGTCCCCGCCGGCAGTGGCACTGGAATTGGCAGCTCGATTGACAAGCTGGATAGTGGCATAGGGAAGCATGCCTCTGCCCCCAGAATCTGGATGCTCGCGAGGATTCGTGACATTGGTAGAGTTGTGACTGGCAGCCTGTATGCGCGCACCGGTGTCACGAATGTAATTTATGCGGCAGCCGTACATGGATTTCTTCGAGGGTGTCCAGGAAGATGGCCGCAGTACTCTAGGTCCCGAGGATAGTGGAGGACAGTCGACGACTTGCAATTGGGGCACGGTGGCGCCTCTTCAGATCAACGACACATCCCCACTCATTACCCAAGGCACGAACTTGGGGATGGCCGCCATCCGACAGCTTGACATTGACCAGGTACCTATTGATGCGGAGAGACGACAAGTCACTGGGACAAATCATGCGGCAGTCATTGCAGTCTCTCCACCTCGGTGCGTCTCAGGATCTTTGCCGGACATAGACATCGTTGGTGAGGAAGACATCGTTCAGCTTGCCAAGAACTTCACTCGTCAAACTGGGCCAATGGGTCTCATCAGATTGAGATCGATAAGCAGTCTCCTCACCTGCAGTTGTACTCTGCTCAGCTTGGACCCCTCTACTCTGTCTTCGCAAAAGCTGCTTCAGGTTCGCCTGAATGCCTCCAGCTCAAGTGGCAGCTTTTCTACCTCCTCAACAACAACTCGTTCCTCGGCCGACCTTCGAACTATAGGTGGACCGCGACCTCGACCTTCATGACTTCAACGGTCACGGCCTCGACCTCATCCCTGGCATTGTCGCAGTCCATGACTTCGTCCTCTACGGCATCCACCTCTTGGCTGGTTTCATTGCGATTGCAGTCGAATTTGGGTGGGTCATCAGATGAGGATGCTATTTCCATCCGAGAGCAGGATGTCCACTACTTTTCGCGGTTCCAGCTTGCAACAGGATGGACCTCTACCTCGACCCCGACAACAACGACAACCTCGCCTTCAGTCGGGGTGAATTTGACCTCAGCCGAGGACCAGGTCCGGGACATGGTGAATCGCAATCTGGCTCAGTGTGGTCAGGCATACATCGTGGATGTACTTCGTCGACTTCAAGATCGACAACGAAATCTGCACCACTGCTTGCGACTGAAGCCGGTGGCAGTCTACATCCATGCATGCCCAGCCACGTAATGCCGCGATGTTTGAGGCCAACATCTGGGACGAGGTTGCCCGACAGGCTGCCCACGGGTCAAGGGTGGTTCTGCTGTTGCTGGGCTTTCCTAGCTGAGAGCAAGTACGTCGTGAACTACCAGGACATACCCCAAGGCAGATGCCTGGTTTGAGACTTCGTGCACGGAGCCTCCATATTCACCAACTTTGGCCGGCAACACGGCGGGCTCGGGCTAGCGATGAAGAACTTTTCCTTCGACAATCCTTTGCGAATAAGCAGGTATCAAGCCTCCCATCGAGGACGACACTACCAAAACCTCACCAGACTCACCAAAACATCGGCTCCTAAATGGATTCGGCAATCGTTGTCGAGGCTTATGTCTACGTCCGCCACCTCGCCTCCGCAACCCACCTGCTCGAGATGAAGAACCAGATGAAAATGCGGACAATTGCTTCTCGTGCCGTGGTACGCTTGAGGAGTCGAAGTCGCCTGTACATCGAGAAGAACGTGGTGGCCGTCTACATGAAGCTTAAGATGCTCGTCCTCCTCTTCTACCGGGACCTACGGCTTCCTCCTCTGCGTGTTTACCGGCTCCGGGGGGGGCACTCGCTTTGGATGTTTGTGAAGATGCTCATGATGATCTTGTCTCAAGCTTCACGGGAGTGGTGGCGAGCGTGCAAGTAGAGGGGTTTGTCCGAGATCCATGCTGATGTGACATGAGGCTTCACTGATGATGAGGGCGGGGACTCTGGTGAATCAGGCAGCTGGAGGTCGTGTATTGAGAGTTGAAGTTTTCGTGCGTATCCCATATGGGATAGGCTTTGTGAGACTGCCGAGCAGGAGAAAGGGCGACGCGCATTGAAAAAAAAACAAAGAACCTAACGGATCTCACACAGAGGACTACGAGCACGTCAGCCTCGCAATTTCCACTCAAGTGGATCAAGGCCAAGCTACGTTGCTATCCTTGGCTTGCGAAGCCAAGCAGTCAATGGCAGGATTTGGGAGTTTATGTGGTTTGTTAAGGCGTCTTTATGCCAAGGACCCCTTTCTGCAGGCTTTTTACGGTCGTTACTATTTAGTTACCATGGGGTCTTCAAATTTAATGAGCTATGTTCCAGAGAAAACCGTACCTCCGAGGTATAAGGTGCTGGGGTTAAGGGTTTGGGGTCATGAGGGCAAACAGCCTTCTCGAAATGCTTAAGGAGCCCATGGGAACATTTTAAACCTTTAGCCTTGTATATCTGGATTATCTTACTTAAAAACGATGACAACTTGTTTTAGCTCTGTCATTGAAGAAAAGATCTACGCCCGAAACCATGAGCCCTGACAGAAGGAGTGGCTCCAGAACAACACAGAGGTGTGGAAAGCCTGGGTACCCGTTGTGACGAGTTGTTTCCCTGGCCACGGCTACTACTTGTTTTAGGAAACTTTGTGATTTAGGGTTTAGGTTTTAAGGCTTGGTTGAAGGGTTTAGGGGTTTCTGGTTTATGGTCCTTATGTTTCCCTCAAGGTACCTTTTCATAAATAGTTGTGGGAGCCCTCAAAGTACAACCCAGGCCTGTTTGGCGATGGGAGTTTCGTCAGTTCCCGCGACAATGCCACAACATGTCGACCCTGCCCACCGGGAAGTTATTCATCTCCGTTTTACGACTATGCAGACACTGCCCAATGCCAACAGTGTTCACCCGGCTATTGGCAAAGCTCATATGGGGCTGTGACATGCAGCCCTTGCTCTCCAGGTGGGGGACTTCGTTGAGTTTGTGACACCTCCTGCAGGGTTTGGGGTTTAGGATCTAGCTCTCATATAGTGAGGATGTAAGTGTTTCGGGTTGAGTTTCGGGTCCCTTCTTTGGGTTTTTCTTTTTTGCTACCAACCAGAACCCAGTTCTTTGTTAAAAAAGTTCCCAGGTAAGTTTGCCAATGACACTGGTTCGACATTGTGCAATGATTGTGCACAGGGCCAGTACCAGTCCGCGGCCTCCTCTAGTTCTTGCGAGGTGTGCGACATTTTGCAAACAACAAGCATCCGCGGTGCCACCGAGAACCTCAGCAGTAGAGCAAGCAACCTTTCACTGTTTGAGGTAGTATAACACCTCTCGAATCCAAATGAGGTTGATCCGTTAGTTCACGTAGGAAATTTGGAGAAACCCCGAACCCGAAAAGGCAGAGCCAATGCATCTGCAAACCTGGTTCCTTTCGGGGAGCCACCGGCTGTGAGCTCTGTTCCACCGGGCTCCGGTGCGAGGGAGGCGACATCCCACTTCGTCACTTCGCCAAGGGGTCCATGTACCTGTACATGAAGGTATTTAAGCCATTAGGTACCTATGTAAGTATACCGTAGGGTTAGCCGTCTGGACGTTACTTTCATGCGCGAAACTAAAAGCCTTTAACCCCTCAAGCCCGTATGGTAAACAGGCATGACATGTTTGGTCCACGGAAACACAACTCCCGTACTTCTTTGGGGTGGGCCGGGTCCTTGAGGTTTGCTTGATTTATCCCGTTGAGGGTTCAAGCTCTTGTGCTTTCCCTGGTCTTGTCGGGATGTGGAAACTAGTCAAACATCCGTGTGCACCTTAGAAGCAGTACCACGCTAACAGTACCAATGTCAAATTGACGGTCACTTCTTTTACATACAAACAACATATTATGCAACTGTGTACTAGCCCCGCAGTTTTCTGGGACACGGATGTTTACGTTGTTCTGTCACATATGCGAAGCTGTGACGCATCTTGTTTGCAGGTTCCTTAGCGTCAAAGCTTGACCCCGACCCTACACCCAACACCCTGATCCCTTTTCCCTAATGAAACGCCAAACCCTAAAGCCCTGAACCCTAATCCCTATTCCCTAAACAAACCCTAAATCCTATGAAACCTACACTGTAATCCCTATTCCCTGAACAAGCCCTGAACCCTATAAAACCTAAACCCTTATCCGTAATCCCCCAAACCCTATAAACCCTAATACCACTTCCCTAAACAAGCCCTGAACCTTATAAACCCTAAACCCTAATCCCTATTCCCTAAACAAGCCCCAAACCGTATGAACCCAAACCCTAATCCCTATTGTTCCTTAAGCAAGCTCCAAACCCTATAAACCCTAATCCCTATTCACCAAACCAGCCCTAAACCTTATAAACCCTAAACCCTAATCCCTATTCCCTAAACAAGCCCCAAACCCTAATCCCTATTCCTTAAACAAGCCCCAAACCCTATAAACCCTACTCCCTATTCACTAAACCAGCCCTGAACCCTGTAAACCCGTATAAACCCTTATCATAAACCCATTTAAACCCCCTATAAACCCCTATAAACCCCTACAAACCCTTCTAAAACCTTATAAACCCATAAAAATTCTTATAAACCCTGAACAGTAACAAGCAAGGTCAAGAAGAAGGCTTCTGGGTGGAGGTCGGCTCCCAGAATTCTCTCTCGGTGTACCGGTGCCGGGACTACAGGCACTGTCCAGAAGGCGCTTAGGGTTTTGGCTTAGGATTTAGGGTTTAGGGGTTTAGGGCTTAGGGCCTAGGGTTTAGGGTTAGGGTTTATAGGGTTTAGGGTTTTGGTTCAGGGTTTGGAGTTTAAGGGCGCTTACCTTTGCCTACGAAACCCTATTTTTCTGTAGGTTCTTATTATGAACCCTAATATGGAGTTTATAGGGACCCTACAAAAAAGTAGGGTTTGGAAGATTAAGGTAGTGAAGGGTTCACGATCGGCGTTGGCCAGTAGAGCACTTGGCTTTCTACTCTCTTTTTGAGATTTCCCCGCCCTCCCCGAACCCCGTTCATGAGCGATATATTTGTTTAACGATTCAGTCGAAATTAGAACACAGGTCGATGTGCGAGTCTGTATGTGAGTTGTTCACCCACCGCGAGAATCGCAAAAGATTAAGAAACAACAAGCTTCGTGCATTCGTGTGTTGCTTTACTGAAGTCATAAACCTTTTGACTGGATCTCAGCGAGGAAGTGTACTAGGACCTCTAACTAACCCGATGTAGTCTATCCATGCATCTCGGTTCTGGGTGATGATGATTGAAATCATACAAAGACTCAGGAGCAAGACGCCCTTTTCCGAACTCGTTTCATGGTCGTTAATGTGGAATGAAAAGAACGGCACAACAGACGTATATTGTCGGTCATGAGTGGTTACGACTTTTGAGCCGTCCGCAATTTTGTAGAAAATCTCAGGTCGTAGGGTGTAGGATTGAAGGTTTAGGGTCCATTTCGGATTTCGGATGTAGCATTTACGGTTGCGTCCTTCATGGCCGGGACCCTCAAACTGAAGAATTCCTCGACATAGCTCCCCGTCCAATGCATCAACAAATCTTTACAAGCAATTTCTACTGCTTTTTGACCCATTCAGACATGTATTATCGATTCTTCGATTTAGGGAATAGAATGTAAGATTTAGGATGAGGATTTAGGATTGGAAGGCCTCCAGTACTCGCAACAAATGGGTTTAGGTTTTAGGATTTAGGATTCGGTTGTTTCTAGTACTGGCCACATGAAGGTTTAAACATGAAGGTTTAAACTTAGGTAAGTAGGGAAGGTTTAGGATTTGGCGTTTGGTTTAGGATATATAGGGTTTGGAGTTGTAGGTTGAGGGCGTAGGCCTGCGAGTTTGGGGTTTACGGTCTTATATGAGGGGTCTGGGGTTCAGGGTAGGGGCTTCGTGCCACATGCCCTCAAAGCCCGTGGGTTAAGGGTCTACCAGAGCCCTGAAAAACCTGCCTTCCTGGCGATCCTTTTTATGACGTCCTGATATAAGTCTTGGATATTACACTCACTCAATATCAGTAGAATACTGGCGGTTACAGGGTGGGGGAGGTGCCACATGTCAGTCCTAACCTAAACCCTAAGCCCGAAACCCTAAACCTGAAACCCTAAAACCCTAAAACCCTAAAACCCTAAACCCTAAACCCTAAAACCAGAAACGTTCCTTTTTTCAAGCGAAGGTTCCGGGGTCTATAAACTCCACAGTTTAGGGTTTGGGGTTTACTTACAGGCTCATACCCTAGCCCTTTTTTCGGGCGCCTACCAGGTAGGTTTTAGGGTTTGGGGGTTTCTCCTTGAGGCGTCCCCGGAAACTGTGCGAGCCAACGCGTCGGTCGAGCTTGTGCTGTTTGCCGCCTCGGGTACTGGGCAGGCTGCTGGATACTCGGACATACGGTTTCACAATTCCGTAAGGGGTCTTCTTTAACAATGACAGCCGTGACGATGACAAGTAGTAGTGAATGTTTGTCATCAGTACCCTAGGGCTGCATAGTAGTTCCTTTTTCCTTTTTGCGGTTCAAAAGGACATACTCTGGAGCCTATGGGTAGTTCCTTGGAAAACAAGTAGCATTGGCATGTCTTTGTTATCCGGTTCCTGTCAGAAGAGACCCCCGGGACTCGAACGGCTGATTCTGTTGGCCCCTATATGGGAGTTTCCGAAAACTAGGGATACCTTATTCTGGGGTCCTTGTAATAACGAGGATCCTACTTTTCTGGAAACGATACCGGGTCCCTCATTTTCGGAAACTCCCATATGAATGACTTGAGGCACAGTTAAGTTTAGGCTCTTCGGAGTTTAAGGTTTAGGGGCCTACAAAGTCTTAGGGTTTTAGGGTTTAGGGTTTAGGGTTGAGTGTTTAGGGTTTCTGGTTTAGGGTGTAGGGTTTAGGGTTATTAAGGGTTTTCTTTGGTTCTCTCCACCGGTTGACGGAAGACCTGTCATTTGTTCCAGCTAGGTGACATAAGGCGGAGGACAGGGTCATAGCCATCAGGATCCAAAGGACCGATCAATTAGGTGCTTGGAAGAGTATATAGGAAACTCCAGAAAGTTGGAATATGGTTTCATGGTAGGATACCCTATAATTTACCATAGAAGGGTTAGGATAATCATATTCCAACTTTCTGGCTTCTACCTTATGTTTTTTTAAAAGATACCTGGACCCTTCGGATACTTCAGCAGGGCACTCTCGGTTGGACAAGCACCGGCAGGTCATGATGAGAGCTGCAGACCGTGCCACACAGATTGCACTTAGACCTAGGGGTCGTACCCGAGACGTCATGTCCAGACCCTGAACCTAAACCCTACACCTAAACCCTGAACCCTAAACCCATACCGTAGAAAGTTGAACGTTCGCGAGTCGATACTGGTTTGGGGGTTCGTCGTTGTTCAAGACTGCCGTATGCCATCCTGTCCTGAAGCGCCCGCAACTGGAAGGCCTCTAATTGTGGGGCGGTGGGAGCCTAGTGATGGTAATACCATGTAATACTCATATACCAATACCTATAGTTTCCATTGTAGTTCCTTTTTTTGGTTAACCAAAATCTCTATTATAGGACCCTAACCATAAAACTGGTCAACCAAAAAAAGGAACTACAATGGAGACTATAGGTAAGCCCTAAACCATGAACCGAAGCATCAAGCAGTAGCCGACACCGCTGGCAAGCAGCTCTCGGAAACTGAATCATCGAGCATTATAGGGCCCCAGAAAAGCACATAAGCAAAAAATAGGGTTGGGATATCCCATATAGACCCCCTTATAACGAAGCCCAACAAGGCAGGGATATCCCAATAAAATGCTTATGCTTATGTGCTTTTGGGGGTCCCTACATTAGACGACACCAATGGCAAGCTCAGGTCAGACCCTGTCGATGGTGTATGTGCTGGTCGTGGCAGCAGTCGTCCTTTTTGTCGGTGTGTTCCCCTTTGCGGCATTCTGTTCATGCAGCAGCTTCACTACCAAGAGGACTCTTGTTAGCTTTGCAATAGCTACGATCATGGGTGGTCAGACAGCCATCGCGCTACAGGCTTTCCAAGCGATCAGCCAGCTGAACATTCTGTGGGTGCAGCCTGTCAAAGAGTTTCTTCGGATATTGGCCATTGCGTTGAACGGCTTCCAAACAGGTGTCACGTGCTTTGTCGAGGGCACATCCTTCGCAACATGGTCCTTTGCTTTGCAACTCTTGGGATTCCCTGCTTTTGTTGCTCTGACCAGCCTGCCAGCTGTGGCTGCGAAAATTGGGAGAGGCATCAACTTATTCTCTGGCCTTTTCAACATCTACGGCCTGATCCTTGTAGCTCTCTTGACAGCGATCTCGATTGCCGTAGTCATGCCCCTGAAGTGCAGGAAGAACCCCAATCTCACCTACACCCTGGAGGCCCACCCGCAGGTCATATGCTGGAATTCACAAGAGCATGAGACGCTTGTGCTGCTGTCAGTGCCACTAGGACCCCAGCAGTACCCTTTTGCGCTTGGGTCGTTGTTAAAACAAGAGAACAGGAGAACGCGGCTGCCCTCACGATGAAGCCCCCAAAACTTAAACCCTAAACCCCTAAACCCTAATTAAACTCTAAACCTCAAGCCTAGGATTAGGATCTCAACCCCCAACCCTAAACTCTAATCCCCAAGCCTAGGAAGGGACCCTAATCCCTAAAACCCAAACCAACCTAAGGATCGGTGTTTTGGTATACCCGGCGACCATCCTCAGCATGTTGCTACTTGGGTCGAACTTGAAGCTTGTCTAGGTAGGCCTTTTGGACATTTTGTATTTTCCCTTCTTGGGCTTAGTACGAACCTATTTACGATTTTGTTCAGAGGCTTTAAGGGGCCAACCTAGTTGTTGGCCTTCGGGTAAACCCTACCTGGATCCAAACTATCCACCTGTGTACCTTTCCAAGGGGCGATATAAGGAAATCATAATCAAGAGCCCAAGACTAGAACGGAAGGTTTTACATGGTCCAGGACGACCCTAAACCGCGGTCTACCTTCGATCGTTTGAATTTTGTCTGGCTCCACAACCCTCAGGGTCCATGTACCCATATAGAGATACATGAGCCCTCGATGTACCTATATAGGGACTAAATTAAGGCCAATGTATATGCTATATGAGTACTTAAGTTGAAGGAACCCTAAACCCTTTAAGGAACCCTAAGCCCAAAGCCCGTAAAGGACCCCTAAGCCCTAAACCCTACACCCTAAACCCTAAACCTGAATTTTGTCTGGCCCAAAAAGTTGAATTAGAGAGGCTATGGGCTACCTACAAGTACCCTCGCTGGCTTCGCTCGGATGCTCGCTGGGCTTTAGGGTGCTGGGGTCTTGTCAGGGGGCTTTAATTGGGCTTAGAGGGCTTTAGGGTTTCAGGGTGGCGGCTAGCTTATTGTTTTGTTCACCTTTTTAGTGGTTTAGGGTTTTGTTGGCTTTATGGTTTAGGTTTTTCGATTTGTATTGGTTTAGGGTTTTAGGGATGTGGGCCGCGAGGTTTTGGTTTTCGGGCCTACATAGTAATAAATCTAAGCTTGCGTGTTGCGGGTGCTTGAATACCTAGGACAGAGGAGTTGAAACCTTGCACCGTCTTCACTTCTTGTTTGGACGGTTCCGGCCTGAAAGATATCAATGCTGCCTGATCTTTACGGTCATGAACTTCCTCATCGCCATTACACCGGTATGCTTACCAACAGCTCCTCAGATCGTCGCCATGTGCGTCCTTCTCTGGGTCAAGCCGCTGAACTCTCATTCGGAATCTGTTCTTGTTAAGTTTTTCAATTCGGCGTCGTTGAGGGCTCAGGCTACCGCTAGGGTGTCGAAGTCTGCTATAAATCATGACGAAACTAACCCGGACCCGAAACCCTACAGCAACACTGTAGGCAAGTGGTTCATTGTTTGTGGTGGCCTTGGAAAATTGAAGCAGCCAACTGGAGTGAACTTGTACTGTCTGGTTGCACCGTGCTTTTCTTCAGCTTGGCAACGCCGTTGCTGGACTTGGAGGAGATACCCAAAGCCTTAAACCCTGAACCCCATAAACCCTAAACCGGCAAACCTTCTAGGATGCCCAGGTAGTACGCGCATTCTCTTTTTGTAGTCCTAGGTTCCTTGTAAAGTTACCCAATACCAAAAAGGAATCCCTTTTTTCCTAGGTTACTGGGCATCCTAGCCTCGGCACGACTTGGGAAACCGTTTCTTCAACAGAAGAATGACCATGGCGACCCAGAGAGCCCAATACCCCTTAATGAAGGAATATAGCCTAAATCATAATATGAAGCCCGATACAACTTAAGCCATATTCCTTCATTAAGGGTTATTGGGCTCTCTGGGTCGTGCTGATGGGTGGCTCTCCCTGCGGCCTCAGGCTCTACTCAAAGGCCCCAAAGTAGTTCCTTTTTGGGATTACCTTATATTACCTTACAGGATTCTATATTCCTTAATTAAGGGGTATTGGGCTCTCTGGGGACTTGATATTTGGTTTATCTAGCGCAGGACGGCGGCACTGAGACCCAGCTCTCGATTCTACTGGTGATCATATTTCTTGGCTTGCCAGTGTGCTTCGTGGGAGCAGCCATCTGTGCGGTCTTGTCCAAACGCAATCGATCACACAGGTACACGTTATTCCTGTCCCATCACAAGCTGTCCTCGAGTATGCTTTGTCGTTACATCAAGGTGGTGGTTGCAAAGCTGGCGCCGGCCTTTCATGTCTTTTATGATGCAGACAACCTTCACAATTTGGACACGTTGTTCGGCACTCTGAAGAACGACGTGGACGTTTTTTTGGCAGTGCTAAGTGCCAACGTCTTCAGCAGTTTCTGGTGTATTGCTGAAATGACTACAGCGTTCGCAAACAAAGTGCCGATGCTTGCAGCTTGGTGAAAGCGGGTATGCACTTACAACTAAAGGAATGCTAGCAGCAAGAAAAACTTGTAGTCGAATTTGTGTTTCTAGCCATGGTTCGAGGATTATACCGAGACACAAAATCCTGAACACCTGAAGCTGAGCTTTAGCACCGTTTCGCTTGCAGCTACTTTCCCAAACGAGAAGCGAAGTATAAGACGCTGCATACGAACCGTGTCGAAACAACCACGGCAGCCCAGGTGCTACGTTGTGACGACCCTCCGTATATTGGCGAGAACTTTATGGATCCTGGGTTAAGGAATTCAGCACTGTTTCTGCAGGATGTCGGAGCGGCCTCAGCTTGTTTCCGCTCACGAGCTGCGACGTTACAGTTCAGGTTCAGGTTGTAATTTCGAAGTCCGCGGGCTTCGGATGAACATGCTTTGGACGGTGAGTTTTCGTAAGCTTACGAACGCGGAGCGTAAGCCCCGAACCTTAAACCCTAAACCAGAACTTCGTAAACAACTGCCTAAACTAAGCCCCTTTCACGGAATAAGGTTTCGTCTGCAAGAACCCCTCCCCCCCTGCCGATTTTTCACAAGCCGCTCGACTGATTCAGGATCTGTCTACAAGCAGTTGGGCCGAGGAACAGCAACTTGGTAGTGCGTCGCAAGAGCTTTTGGCTTTCCCCTCAGGCAACCTTAAGGGTCCCCAAATAGTATATACTTTGGGCCCAATGTACCTATATAGGAAGTACTCTTAAGGCCAATGTATTTACCACATGAGCACATGGACCCTTAGTGCAATATCTTAGTCGTAGCCTCTCAGGAACCGCCTTAAATAACATTTGCGGCCGTGGGGTCCGACAGGTATGCTAGTGTAATGTGTGCACATGGATGTGAATATATATATATATATGTATGTACATGTTACATATGCACATACATATTCCTGTACATATACATGTACATGTGCATGTACAGATACACGTACATCTACAGATACACATATACAAATACATACACGTACACTTGTACTTATACTTCTACGATCGGGCCTGTTTTTTTTTCAGGGTTTAGGGGTGAAGCCTCCAGGCCCTGAAGCCTACACCCCAAACCGCAAACTCGAATAACCTTAAGGTAAAAGCCAGAAAGTTGGAATATGATTATCCTAAACCCTTTATGGCAAATTATAGGGTATGCTACCATGAAACCATATTCCAACTTTCTGGAGTTCCCTGTAATGGGGCTGCCTTGGATCTTCTAAAGCTCGATCCTAATGGCAAAATACACCCGAGGCTGTTTCTGTTGCACAGCAATGGCTTGTCATTGGAGGACGTACAGGCTGGGCGGGTATGGGTTGTGGATTATGGATTGGGAGGGGGATACTTGGATTTAGCGGTCCCTTACACGACCCCGTTATTTCAGTCAGTGTTGGGGGAAGCAAACTGTTTCAGACTTCCGCGCGACCTTAAGGCCCAGGTTTTTCTCAGGCTTGGCGGAATGTCACATGGAGCAAATTCAGGCAGTAGCAGGTGGTCTTTTACTCACCTAGCCTACACTTCAAAGCCCTATGAGCCCTGAACATCTAGGGTCGAGATGAAGCCCCAGTGACCCGTCATAACACCCAAATTCCAGGCCTCCCAAACCCCAACCCCGAAACGTCAGCCCTGATCTGCGAGAAGAGATGGGCCCTTCAATCTTCGACTAGCCCGAATTTTTAGTAACAGATTTGGTAACTTTTACTTTAATCTTTAACATTTGTTGTGAATGTCTGGGGCGCGGTACGGGTGGCCCTGAGCTCAGCCGGGATATTGGACAAGGGCTCCGTAAGAACATTATAGAGGCAAGGGTTTAGCGTCGTCTTTTGGGGTTCACATTGATGGCTGGGCTTCTATTATGAGGCTTGGGGTTAGGGTTCAGGCTTATGTCTCTAGGCTGTTTTGCGAGATCGTGGTCGTTGGTTTACGAAGTTTCCCAGACAGACCAAGGCCAAGGATATCCAGGGATCAGAATATGCCGCATTAAAATAAAAGCAGAAAGTTGGAATATGACTATCCTAAACACTTTATGGTAAATTGTAAGATATCCTACCTTGAAACCATATTCCAACTTTCTGGAGTTCCCATTACCTTTACTCCGAGTGTCCCAGCCTGATACTCACGACCTGTTCTTCGCTGATCATCATGTGCACCCCAAGCTGTGTACGATTGTGAGGCATACAGCCCTGTAACACCCTTGAAGACACTCTATATGGGAGTTTCCGAAAATAGGAGACACTATTATAAATATGTGTGTATATATATATATAGTACCCTCAATAGTAGGATCCTTGTTATAAAGACACCAAAATGAGGTACCCCCTATTCTTGGAAACGACCATATAAAAAGAGCCTAAAACCCCCGACCCGGAGGCGACTGTGGCTCACGTGCTGAAGCTTCCACATATACAGTTCCTTCGAACTGGCAGCGCCTCTCAGCAGGAGGCCTCCATCATCAAAGTGTTGCAGAATGACTCTTGCCTGCAGATTGAAGGGTCGAGGGTTCCGGGTTTAGGGTTAAGGGTGTGTGTACAGGGCTGGCACCTTGCCGACTCTCATACACGAGTCGTTACTGCTTCACGTTTGTTCTGTGTGTAGACATCCGCATTGTGAACTTCCATGTCTGTTTCGTGAGTGGCCGCTGTGTGGATGGTCCGCATAGATCATCATGAACCTGTGAAGGTTTCGGGCTGGCTGGAGACTGAAGATCAACATTTGAGTTTGGAATCCCCTCTCACGTCCAGTTCGTGAACGGCCCATTCTACGGCTGAGGGACTGAGGCGCAGTAACTAGCGGGGATTGAGACCGTGCAAAGGCATTTCCTGGAAATTAGGCTTGGGCCGCAGGCTCTAAATCAGACTTGTTGAAGCTGCTTTCAGGGAGTGGTGCGCGATTACTGCTCCGACTCTTGATGCTCTACTACGACTGCTACGGCAGGCTTCGCTACCATTACTAGTTCTTTTCCATGTCCTCAAAACTACTACGACTGGCTTCCTACCACTACTACTACCACTACTACTACTGCTACTACTCCTCCTGCTGCTGCTGCTACTACTACTACTACTACGACTACTACTACTACTACGACTTCAAGAACAACAACAACTGCTACATGTTGTCGTACGACAAAACAGAGCAGCTAAGGTCAGCGGATGTCCAGTTCTCGGAGAGCCCTCTGAGGGTTCTGTGGAGAGAGCTCGACTCCTGGTGTGCGGAGGTTCTCGATTCTGCGGTCCTTCTTTTAGGGTTTCGGGTTTAAGGTTTAGGGTTGGATTTTAGGGTTTAGGGGTTTAAGGTTTAGGGTTTAGGGTTTTTAGGGCAGTGAGAATCTTATCATTTAATGTTTGTGTGTCGGTTTAAGACGGGCTTAGTATTTCGGAGATGTTTTTGGAGGTGCTCAGCCAGAAGCGATCTCCTCCATGCTTGTCATGCAGCAGCTTTTGCAAAGCAAGCTGCAAGTTCCTTGCTATGTCGTTCGGCATGCGGCAGAAATCGGGCTGTCCAAGAAAGCCTCGCGGCTAGTGGTTGTCCTTACCCAAGGGATCTTTGCCGAAGAGGAATTTGCTGAGCTTGTCCTTTCTACGGATATGGAGGGCTGGGCAAAAGTGGTTGTGAATGACGGTTCCTTCGATTTCCCTTCGCCCAGCCTGAGTGCCTATCGGGACCTGCAGAATCCAGAGCTTTCGGCTGCTTACAAGAGCCTATGTGGGTCCTTGGCGCTGCCGTTCACCCCGCACCTGTCCGAAACACTCCTGCACCAGCAGATGGAGCATATTTGCAGAAGGACCACGTTTTAAACTGTAGATCCCTTATAGGCCCCTTTTGCAGGAACCCCTTTAAAGGGAACCCTATTCTAAAGTATTAAGGCCCCTATATTATATCCTCACACAGGAGTCTAACCTCAGACACAGTGATCGGGGATCCTGTTGCAGTCCTAGACTAGTTGGTCTGCGAGTTTCGGAACATCAGGGGCCCCTGTATAGAGCCCTAAATAGTAGGATCCTTCTTTGTTAGGACCCCTAGAAGGGCCCCAAAAAAACTTATAGCGGTTTAGGGGTTTAGGGTTTAGGCCGCCAGTGCCCAAACTCCAACCTCGTGAAACTCCCCTATTTCAGGGTTAGTTAGTTCAGGAAGATGCCCTAAATTGTATTCGGGGTCCGACTATAATTTAAATTCTGCTCTTTAATCAACCAGGATATTGGAAAGTCGGGGTAGAAACCTATCAGTTTTGCTGCCGACATTCCTAAACACTAAACCCTAAACCCTGGAACCACAAACCCTACCTATAGTCTTCATTGTTGTTCCTTTTTTGGTTAACCAAAATCTCTATGATTGGATCCTAACCATAAAACTGGGTAACCAAAAGAAAGGAACTACAATGGAGACTATAGGCAAACCCTAAACCCTAAACCCGTCTGTCTCTGTCCCTGAAGGCTGGCAGATGACGAGCAAGTCGGAGGCGACACTCAGCGCCGGAACCGGTAACCGTTCATGAGGGTTTAGGTTTTTGGGCTTAGGGTGATTTTTGTGTTTAGGGGTTTAGGGTTTGGGCTTGTAGTGTTTCGGTTATATGACTTAGGTTTTAGGTTTTCAGGGTTGCGGGGTACGGGTTACAGGTTTGAAATTTCGGGCTGTAGGGGTGTGGGGCTGGTGCAGTCGTCGATACTCTCCAAGGTTTAATCTACACACAAGTTTCAACGAGCCTTGTATCATAGATTCTCCAGACACCCCTAGACCATAAACCCTCAACCCCGGAGGAAGCTGATAAGGAGAGTGCAATGTCGAGAGTTCTCACTCGAAGCAGTAGCATGGCATCCCCGGCGCAGCGTACAGCGAGTTCTTCAAGTCTGCCATCGCAGTCCGATGCTGGGCGCCTGTTGAGGAGGTTCAGGATTTAGGGTTTAGGGTTATGTTACCATAGCTGTTAATGAGGTTAGTCTTAGTAGCTGAGTGGACACTTTACACTTTTTGTGATAATTTACCAACTATAAAACAAAGTGTACAACTTTGGGGGGCTTATGAGCTCAGCAACTAAGTACATAATTTATGCGACCATAATTTGGGTCTTTAGGACATGATCTCGTTTCGTGATTATGGTAATTTAAGTTTTCTCATAGCAAGAACCCAGGATGGCGGCATTGTCGACGACGACGACGGCAATGCTGATTATGTGCAGGACTGGAATTGATGCTGGTTTAGGTTTTAGGGTCGTTTGGGTTTCGGGCTTACCCTAGGGCTCTAAAGTAGTTCCTTTCTGGGGTTCATATATAAAATCCTATAAGGTAATCCCAAAAAGGAACTCCTGGGGAGCCTATGGGTACAGGTAACCAGTTAGGCGCGAGACGTTCCTTCTCATGGACAGACAACAGCCAAACAGAGCTCTGCCCCGGTTGCCCAAAGGGTCCAAAGTACTTTTACGGGGGGTACTTCCCCAAATCATAATAGTAATTCCTAATATCGAAACCCTGCATTCTACCACAAAGGTACCTTGGACCCTATGGGTTGGGAGTTTAAACAGTTTAGGGTCTTGGGTTTAGGGTTATGGGAGGCGTGGCACTTCTTCAACCTTGGAAGCACCGTTGCAAAAGCCACAGTGTTTTGCACGTTCTGGTGGGTGGGTGACGGGGTGGCTGGGTGGGTTGGAGACAGCAGGTCCAGAGTTGTGGGTTTAGCACTTTAAGTCGGATATTTTGCGGTTCCTAACTCAAAGTAAACTATACAGGGGCCCAGAACCATAGTCTAATTATTAAGGCCCCTATGTTACCTTGCTGGCTTTGGAGTCATAGTTGGAGTGCTCCCGGCCCGCCAGGAAGCCTTTTGAGGCGTTTTCGGGCACCATGGGCACCTCGCGGACGACAGATGAAGCTTCCTAGCCATCCCAAAGCCAACGGAAGCTGCGGCCCTAGGCCCAAGCGTCTTCACCCTAAGGGTCCATGTACCCATAATATAGAGATACATGAGCCCCGAAGTACCCAAAGAGGGATTACATTAAGGCCACTGTATATACTATATGAGTACACGGACCCTTAGGGCTCAGGGCAATCATTCTCACTTTTCCCACGTTTGGGAATAATTCAAGCTTCTGCGGCCGCTTCTTTAGCAAAATTACTGCCCAAGGCATCACACAAACTGAAGCGTGCTGGCAGCCAAGCAAACTGCAGGGAGTCCGCCAATGCATGGCTGGCATTTCTACACATAAGCTTTGCTTGTAGTCTCCAAACATCTGTAGTTTGGGGGATGTTGAGTGGAGTAGTCTAGATCTGGAGTGCCCTGCGAGCCCCGTCATGGCGGGACAGTCGTGAGACAGCATCAGCATTGGCATTCAGTCTGGCGATGCTGTTTGGAAATGGTGTTGTGTTAAGACCTGGTAAGACCAAGTGTGAGGCCTGTCCGGAGAATGAGGTCACAGCACACCGTAAACCCTAGCGCCCAGTGTTGCCAGAGATTTTCTGCACCGTTCGGCTTTGCTGGATGCTTTTGGCAAGCGAAAAAGGTCCTACGAAGCAGCACAACACCATACGGCGTAGAATGAAATCTGAACTTTGCATTTTCGACCTTCGGCACATCTGCAATTGACCACACGTGCTGCTGCTGCTGCTGCTGCTGCTGCTGCTGCTGCTGCTGCTGCTTGCTCCTTGTTGCTCCTTGAGATCGGGTCCCTGAACCCTAAACCCCTGAATACACCCTAAGCCCCTAAACCCCTAAACCCTAAACCCCTAAACCCCTAAACCCTAAACCCCTAAACCCTAAACCCCTAAACCCCTAAACCCTAAATCCTAAACCATCCTGGGAAGTGTTCGTTGGACAGTTTTGCGGTAGGCGCGAGTGTCTGCAGGGAAGGTCGTTGGACCTGTCGGGAAGCTCCATCCTCGGGGTAAGGTTTAGGGTTTAGAGTTTGCCATAATCCCGGTTTAGGGTTTGGAGTTTCGGCTTTCCGGGTTTAGAAAGGGTTCGGGGTTTATGTAGTGTTTACATAAGTGTTTAGGGGTTTAGGGTTTTAGCAGGGGTTTAGGGTCCAGGGTTTAGGGCGTTAGGGTTTCGGATGCATCATTTCGGTAGTACGCGGGTCGGAGTACGTACGAACATGTTGAGGCTCCTTCTTGTCATCATCATAGCCTAGTTTTGCCCAAAGCCCTACTCAGATGAATGAGGCCCCCTAGGTTATTAACAGACATCTGTCGGTCCCTAAACCCTAAACCCTTATCCCCCCAAAAACCCACATACAAAGCCAATGGCTCCCCCACATTCAGGACTTAGTTGCTCATGCGACCATACGCTTGATGATATAAATCCTGCATTACCCACAATAGTGAACATAACACAATACCCATAGTCTAGGGTCGGTCATTAAGCCAATGTAGTTTTATACCATCAACAGTAGTGTATATGGCTTGGGGGTCCCTAGAGGTTTACGGAAGGCTCTAGACTTCAAAGACCCGAACATGGCCCTCTGTGATTTATCTCTGCGCCAGGTTCTTCTCGGTGAATCGCGCCTTCTCCCCTGGAATGGCCCGTCTTGGAGCAACTGTCTGGACCTGCTTTGGCAGGGTTGAGGTTGCAGGATGAAGATTTGTGTGTTGGAACACTGTTTCGCTCGGGATGTGCGGAGTTGGGGGCTGATGTATCCTTAGCCCCTCCAGATGCCAAGCTTTTACATCCAGGACCCTAAGGAAGTGTTCTCACTCAACCCTCGACCCTACCCCCAGTCGTCGTCGTAGTACTTAGAGAGACTATCTATCAGGGCTTCCGAATAGAGCTTTCAGTGTTGGGCTTAAGCCTAAGCTCCTTAAACCCCTAAGCCCCTAACCCTAAAGCCTTACACCTCAGGACCGGCGATGTGAGCGCCGATTGGGAGACCCTTCGAAACACTCCTGGCGGCGTGCTCAGTAATTTCAGTGCTAAGAGTTTCGCAGTGTCTGCGGTTTGGGGTTAAGGGTTTCTTGCAATTTCTACCTTGGTTTAGGACGTAAATGCATCAGGGGACTTAGGAAGTATAGTCATAAACCTCGTGAGTATATCAACCCTTACTCACCAGGTCCCCGGATCCTGCAGGTAGACCGGAGAGTTCCGCTCCAGAGCTCAAGGTTGAGATCATCCATTTTTCCTTAGGCTCTAAGGACTCATATTTTAAGGCTTTTGCGCCCAAAGACCATACTATATCAGGCTTTTGGGCTATTTTGAGCCTTAGGGTTAGGGTTCAGGTATTTAGGGCTGGTGTGCGTAGTGTTGGCGCAGGAGCGTAGCCTTGTTTTGTGGTTGGCAGTGGTAACAAAACCAAACATGCGCCACACAGATCAGTATAATCATGATGTGGGTAGAAGTACACATGAATACAAAAATATACACATATACACATACATGCATATATATATATATGTATATACAACAGACAAGCCTTATGTACGAGCCTCGTACACGAACCCCAACGTAGGATTCTTTACAGGAAAATGGGTGCTGGGTCTATGGGTAGGGTGTAGTGGGTGTAGAGGGCCCGTGGGCTTTGCATGTGTTTCTTTAGTGGGTTTCAGGACTGGCATCAATTTCCTAAACCCTAAACCCTTCAATTTCAAGGTTTTTGTTCCGGCAGTCAGTTTCCTCACTCCCAGCTGAAGATGAGAAGGTTCCCGGTGAGTTAACTACAGTAAACCACATCAAGTTAGAAACCGTATGAAGGCCAAATGGTGCAGGGATCCCCTATACATTACTCTTCATGACTGGGGATTGAGGATATTGGGATTCTAACTTTTCGGCTTTTACTGTATATAGTTAAGGGCCCTATATTAGGTGGAGCCTCTGGGATAATACCTAAACCGTATAGAGCCGAAACGCATTCGTTATCATGACTCTCGCGGTCCATGTGCATATGTAGTATTTGCTTAGGTCTTACAGGCGTTCCCGTTTATGCACTGAATTTGCGGCCACTGTACATACTAGATCCATACATAGGCGCACGACATGCTCCAGGTGCCTCGAAGCACCACTACTACTACTACTACTACTACTACTACTACTACTACTACTACTACTACTACTACTACTACTACTACTACTACTACTACTACTACTACTACTACTACTACTACTACTACTACTACTACTACTACTACTACTACTACTACTACTACTACTACTACTACTACTACTACTACTACTACTACTACTACTACTACTACTACTACTACTACTACTACTACTACTACTACTGCTACTACTACTACTACTACTACTACTCCTACTCCTACTCCTACTCCTACTCCTACTCCTACTCCTACTCCTACTCCTACTAATCGTTTCCCCCTAATATAAAATGGTCGGCCCCCCCCCCCTTCGCCCTAAATAAAAACTCGAGAATGTTTTTATAATTAGGGGGCTGTTGTTATCTCAACTGCCAGAAACACAGGTTCTACAAGTAATTAAATGATGATAATGATGACGATGAAAATGATGATGACGATTACGGTGATGCTTGTTATGATGAAGATGGCGGTAGTGGTGGTGATGGTAATGATGACGATGATCATGGTCCAGGAAAAGAACATGATGATGATGTTGTTGTTGATGATAGCGATGCTGATCTTAATGAGCATAATGATGGCAAGGGCTGTTGATTCGTACGGTGTCGATCATGGTTGCACTAGTGCAGAGCACATGTGGTGAATGCCAGAAGCTTGGAAATATGTGAAAGACTTAAATTAATGATAATTAGATATGATAGGAACTAATTAATGATGTTCCAAGCTTCTGGCATTCGCTACAAGTGCTTTGCTTCTGAGAGTTCGGTCAGCAATCTGCCCGCTCCGCCACAGACAGGCAGCCTCAAAGGAGGCCTTTGTGCCTTGGGGCACGAAGGCCCGAGCCACAGGCTGTCAAACAGACACTCTGTACTTCAATTACTGCACTACTGCTAATTGTTGTGGAAGTGTTGTGGGCCGGAGATTGAGCCCGCGACCCTGCCCAACACGCCCTACTGAACGGCTGCCCCCAGTTTCCTCTAGTCGCCCATAGCTCAGCGGGCAGGGGGATGGCTCACAAGCCCTTCTGGAAAAAGGGCGCGGGTTCAAACCCCAGTGGCGTCATTAAGACCCTTTGACGTTAATAAGGGCTTAATTTGGCTTTAATAAGGGCTTAATAAAGCCTTAATAAGCCTCTTATAAGCCTTAAATAAGGCTTTAATATGGCTTTAATAAGGGCTTAATAAGGCCTTAATAAGCCTCTTATAAGCCTTAAATAAGGCTTTAATATGGCTTTAATAAGGCCTTAATAAGGCCTTAATAAGCCTCTTATAAGCCTTAAATAAGGCTTTAATATGGCTTTAATAAGGGCTTAATAAGGCCTTAATAAGGGCTTAATAAGGCCTTAATAAGGGCTTAATAAGGCCTTAATTAGCCTCTTATCAGCCTTGTCAAGCCTTATTAAAGCCATATTGAAGCCTTATGACAGCCTTTATTAAGGGCTTTTCAGGATCAGCCAGGGCCAGCCAATATCATCCAGCATCAGCAAGAAACAGCCAGTTTCAGCCAGTACCGGTCAGTATCAGCCAATATCAGGATCAGCCATCATCCAGCATCAGCAAGTAGCCAATATCAGCCAGTTTCAGCCGGGATCAGCCAGGTTCAGCCAGTGCCAGCCAGTTTCAGCCAGTATCAACACTTCCACAACACTTCCACAACACTTCCACAACACCTCCACAACACCTCCACAACACGTCATCACTGCACTCCTGCCAAGTACTGCACTACTGGTCATTGCTGCACTCCTGCCACTTACTGCACTGCCAATTACTGCACTACTGCCAATGGCTGTACTTCCAATTACCGCACT